ATAGAAAATGTGTGGAATGATATGTCAAAACTTTTTACAAATGCCCGTCTAACCAGCAGAGAAACTCTGTTATATTCAGTGTTTCATGCTTGGGCCAGCATTAGCCCTGAACGCATCAGAAAATTATATGAAACCTTGCTTCGTAGACTGGCACCTATTATAAGGTCACGTGGCTATGCCACTAAGTACTAATTTTGGACTTGAAACTGCATATTTTGGTAGAATGTATATTTTGTTCTCATTTTGTGATTTTTTGTGAAATTTGATGTTAATAAAATGATACCAGGAGCATATCATTCCGCAGTCATTTATCTCCCCCATAGTATTGGCTCAGTAGGGGTGACACTTCTTTTGTCCAGTGTGTGTAGGCATTAACATGTCAGATAAGATGACTCATGCATAGACTCAGCCATCTTCACAGAACTATTGATACTGTATAAGCGCATGTTAAATAATGATAATAATAATAATAGCTTTGATAATAAAGCTTGGAATTTTAAAGACCTTTTTGGCATTTGACATTGATGAATATTTATATTATTGTATATGCTATATACTGTACATTGTTGGCTTTAATAGTATAGTACTTCATTATTACATTCATGTAATACAAAAATACAGGACCCGATCATATTACATTTAAAAAGTGTATTTTGAGAATCCAGTTCTTGCTACAATATTCTAGTTGGTGTTCAATCTGTTAATCATGATGGCCTTCTGCACCATTCTCTGAATCTGTGAGATATCAATGGGCTTCTCGACAACTTGGTACGTGGCATTCTCAGACTAAAGAACAGAAGGAAACAAAACATTGAATCAGAAGTTGTCTAAAAAATATAGTACACTTGTCATTTACTATTTTAATGGAATTAATAATTATGTCTTTGAATCTGTTGGTAAACATTCGGATTTTCTCGGCATTAATAAAGTTAAATCGAATGCTCTTATATTTTTCTGATGAAGTTGTGTAAAAGTGTGAGTTATAATAAATAATAACAAAAATGGATAAATGAAATAAAAACTTGAAATAAGCTATTTTATAAAACTAGGTGCTTTGTGAATATAGTACTTGATTTCTTAATGCAGTCCTCATACCATAATGTAAAGAAGACTAGAACTTTGAATAAATTCAACGATCACAGCAAAATGTAAAAACCATACATTAGACAAGCTGCAAATAATATCAATATATAAACCTTTTTTTCAAAAGATATATATTTGTATGTAGCATATACTTACAATTACTAGCCAATTAATGCACTTTAAAACAAAACAAAAAAGAATTTGTTTTACTGTTTTGTTTCATACACTATTCAACTATGTGGTACAAAATACGGACCCCGCCTAGGAAAGAATCCAAAGCATCACGGAAAAATGAATTCCGTTCCAATCATTATTTTTAATATATCCCTTCCTCAAGAAGTACTGTCTTACCCGAAAATTGGAGCAATGTTTTAAAAACTATTTGACATATCTTGCCCTTTAGCTAGCAAACAATTATATCATGCTTTGTTGGCGGAGGTATAATAATACTTTTCATACCGACCTACCGTGTTGACCATTGTGTCTTGGATTCCAAGTACAAATTTCCGCCTGACGTCAGCTAAGGTAGGGAAGCGAGCGAATCTTTTTGCCCTGCCGGAAACTTGCGGGAGGGATCCACCGTTTAACTGGAGATGCTTGGTGTTCTTTCCTGTAGAATAATTTGAATGTTTTGAAAGATGTTTCACAGAATATGAAATTAAATGAAGTTGGACTGTCCTGAAGCCATAAATTAAAGAATTATATCTACTAGTCAACATCAAATTTTACTGAAAGATAATAAAATGCAGGGGCGGATCCAGGATTATTTGAAGGGGTTACCTGCGGATGCGAAGCTGACCCCCACACCCTGCTGACGTTGGGTTCAGGGCCCCGGTGAAGGGCCCCCAAAATTTTTGGTATTTTAGAGGGATAACCGTGCCATTTGGTACGGTTTAGAACAATGATTCAACAAGGCAGAATTCTTATTTCAAGAGGGGGGCATTTGTGTGATTTCTTTCAGAAATCGAACGGGAAGTCAGGACCCCCCTGGCCTTTCCTCTAAATCCGCCACTGAAATGCTGCTCCATGAGTTTAATATGGGGGTGGGGGAGGGTAATTTATTTAGCAAGGTGAGGCAAATCAAAGAGTTAACGCGACACAGTGTTCTGTAGGAATCAGGTATACGTTTGTCTCGTTTTGCTTGTTACATTTTGCTGGTTATATTTTGCCAGGGGTGTAGGGGTGCCGGTACCTACTAAGTTAAGGGAGGGGGGTGCACGTGACCACTCTCGCCTCAACTGGATCTCTTGTAAATGGCGGACATTAACTTGTCATTTAGCAAACTTCATCATACTTTCTTAGTCTTAAGAGAATTCAAACTTACAAAGAATTTGTAAAATGAAAAGGTCTTTTGAAGTAAAATTGAAATTGTTTGATCAATGACGTTATTATCAAAAACTTAACTACGAAGAGTGAAATTCGGTACATATGCGACACACACACAAAAAAAACAAAAATCTTCCAAGCCGTTCCTAAAATGTTTTTACGATGTGTTCATATTCAATTCCATATATATGTATGCATGTTTTCAACATATGCATCGTACCTTTCAGTTTTTCCAGGAGACTTTTAGATACGGCCTCCTCATCAACCACACCATTGTTTTTCTGGTACTCTGCTTTCACATCTGATTCCACCACGTCCATCAATTCTCTCATAGAAATCTCCTCCTGGGCGGCGCCGATAATAACCTTAAGTACAATACATTGAAACTGATGCAGAGGTACAGATGTGTTTTGGAGAAGGCGGAAACCCTCAGTGAACACTTTCGACAGAACCAGTTAACGACTAATTTTACTTAAACCCACTAAGGGTTTTATAATAATAATAATCTTTATTGGAGAATTTGATAAAAAGTATTATCGAAATGATCAAGCTTAAAGAGACATCCAAATAGACTGCCAGTGTCAAAACCCATCTTTTGGATAACTTTTACTAGAATTCTAAAGCACATTATAGTTGACTCGTCCTTAATGAAACAACAAAAAAGTTATCCAAAGAATCCGACAGTTGAGTATAAAATTTGAACGATTGTAGCGGAGTTTTTGCATAAAACTTAAACGTTTAACAAACCCATCGAGAATCAAACATTCAAACAAATGTTACACATGATTACTTTGAATGCCAACTGTTACCTGGGACAGATTTTTTGAGTCCGAGAGAGGAATATACAGCCCTCCTGTGATTCTTGCAATGGCCATAAAGAAATCCCGATAAGGGGAGATACTTGGCTCACACCCGATGACGTAGATGGTCACACCCTTTTCTGCTAGCTGACTGGCTATTTCTATGGGATCATGACCATCAGGGCAGCCTGTAAATATGTTTAACATGTGAATAAAACATATGACCCTACACTAGGGATGTAGTGCATTTCTTGCTATTTATGCATACAGAAACAAGTGATAATGATTTTATAAGCTGTCCTTTTAATTCAGTAAAATTTTTCAAACAATTATAAATATATATGTAATCCACTTACCGTCTTCATAGTTATCCAAAGCGCCGCCAAACATTGGCAAACCATGAGGAGGCTGATCTGCGATTAAAACACAAACTTTAGCATCAGACTGCCATGGGAGGTCTAAAGTCGCGTTTAACCCATCTTCAACTGCCTCGGGTTCGTCTGCACCCGGTTCTTCAACCGCTATTGTTAAGATTAATAACACAGGGTATATGTACTGGTACAGTGTCTTGGTGCTATGTATTTTCAATGCTTTTCATAATTTGTAATACGTTTTTGAAAAATGAAACACATCCAAAATTCATCTTTAATTTATTTTCATGAAAGCAAACACAATGTTGGCAATGCCTGATCATCCAACCTCATTCATTATAAAACCAGAAGATAAATGTAAATAGCATGTATTGTCATAAGTAATATGCAAAAATAGCTGCAGGAAAGTATTAACACTATATCTGGCTTGAACGGTATGTACTGAAGATAACACATAAAAAAAACAAAGTTCTCCAAATAGCATTATTGTTTTGCTGTATTCAGTTATTTTAATTTCTTACGATGATACATGGATCGACTTACTTCCCACGGCATCAGTGGCCACTTTTTGAATCACACCTTGCAATGCGTTAAAATCACCAACAGTGGTCACGAGGTCGGGGGACGACGCAATGTTATTTAATTCGTGTTGACTAATTTTCCCTACTCCAACTGCCACCATCCTTATTCCATTGTTTCTCGCTCTAGAAGCTTGCTGCAGGGTAGCTCTGGTGTCGTTCGAACGCCCGTCTGTTATGACAATTCCCACTTTATTTCTAGTTCGGCTGTTTGAAAAGACGGATATCATGTCAGATATGGCACCTGCTGTATTTGTGCCACCCCCTTCGTAGTCCACCCCACTAGTTAGAAATTTCTGGAATTGTTGAAGACTTCTGGCTTCCGCTGAACCAAAAGTTAATAATGTGCTAGCATAAGAGCTGTATCGAATAAGAGCCACACGCACACCGCTTGGACCTAAGTAACCACATTTGGACACTACAGCGCTAACGAACTGTTTCTCTTTTTGGAAGTTTTCAACGCTAACGCTGCCAGAGGAATCCATAAGAAAACATATGTCGGTTGGTCCTCCACCACCGCCGCCATCTGAAAGGCGTATGAAAAATACAGAAATTGTGATGATACTTTGGGAACTGAAGCACATGGTATTCATATAAATACAATGTGGTTTCTCAAAAGCAAAGTAGCCATTGTATGGCAAGGTTTCTACAAAAACCAAAATAATGGAAAATAATGAAAATATATTTCTATCTTTTCGTTTTTTTTTTTATTTTGAAAGGCAATCCTTTTACCCAGATATCTCTCTCTCTCTCTCTCTTGATCTCTCTCTCAAATACGTATGTTTTAGCAGTATGTGTGTGGAAGTGTATTTCACAAACTTGTTTTGGCGGGATAAAATATATCTATTCATTTTCATACGTGAGAGCAGCTCAGCAAAATTTCTTTACATATGATTCATGATTTACTTACATGCCTCAACCTGTTGCAGCCATATTTTCATTACTTCCAAAGTAGAGGTAAAACCAAATGAATGATGTACAAAGCCCTGGTCCTGAGGGGGGTGGTCTCGATACTCCACTAGACCGAAGCGAACAGTGAGACGGGAATCTCGTGAGATTTGATCCACGATTGATTTGATTGTCTGAAATATTAAATGATCACATTAGAATCATTTACTTTCATTTTAAAAGATTCTACAGAAATGTTACTTTATGAAAGGTTAACATTATCTTTAAAAAATATATATTTTTTGCATTCTGATGACAGTACATCTTCGCAATGTGTCTGAAAGGAAACGTTACCTTTTGAGCTTCGTTTATGTATATCCCCATGCTAGCTGTAGAATCTATCGTGAACACAAGGTCCAGTGCCTTGTCGCGGGTCGACATGTTTGCTTGAATCAATAAAAACATAAGTTCAGTACTTATTTGTCCTTAATACCTACCAATCTACACAACGACTTCCAAGTATGGGCGTTTCTTCAAATTTTCTGTGGCTGCATGAACTTATAAGAAAATTAAACTTGCAGCTTTGTGGTTATAAAATATAGAGCAACGTTAAATTTAATTGATCAACAATGATATGCTTTAACTTGAATTCCAGTGTATTTATTTGCCTATATAATGATAGAGTTTACAAGCAATTGGCAAATTAAGTTTTAAATGTCCTGCTGATCGAACGCAACTCTTCCAATGGAGATATACCAAAGAAAATAAATTTTGTACAATATTCCAATAGTTCTCTTTAGATTAAGATATGGTAAATGAAGAATATCCTCTTTTGGTGCATCAACATCATCTGCAGGATATATAAGTAATATGACAAAAACTCTCAGATACAGAATTCGAAAGCTTACAATGCTTTCAATATTTATCCCAAGCAAGATCTACAAGTATAATAAATACCCAATGCTTTATAAAATAGTCACTATATTGCCAATATTTCATCAGTGTGTTAATAAAGTCAAGAACACATTTTTAAAACAAAATCCTCGATTGCAGTTTTGATTGGACCATAATTGTCGGAATTGCCAGAGGTTTGGTAGCCACTTTCGAAAATTGTCCATCGGTCCTGAAAACGGTAAACACAGCACACGACCACCGCTTGGTCATTCGATGATTCGGACATGGACTTGCGACAGAGGTCCCGAAAGATATTCCTCGCATCAAAGACTTTGAGGCTTGGACAAAGGGTAGGAGTGATGAATTTTGAAATTGACTTCGAGTCCCAAGCGCTAAGGGTGAAAACCAAATGGGTAACCTCTGGCGGTAGATCCTTCAGTCGTACTTCGATCCTATGCTGCCCAACTCTCCGGACTCGGTCGAATTCATCCCCTGTATGGACTACCGCGGCGCCGACTTTAGCACTTTTTTCATTCACGTAATCGATCACGTCCATGTATCCACTTGTTCCATAAACGAAGCAGCTTGCGTCTAAGAAGTCACACCGGATTTGTGGCGGGACACCCCAGTAGAGGTCAAATATCACGTGGTTCAGGTCGTCCGGGATAGCAAAAAGGGCCATTAAGAGATGAATAGTAGAACCGGGAGTCACGCCGAAGTCGGACAGAGTGGAGACCCCGCCTTGTTTTAGAAGCTGGAGGAAAAAAGACAATATTTGTTACGGAATCACGTCAGTTGCCCAAAAGACTGCCTTCATACTACCTTAATGTAAGAAAGAGCAAAAATAAATAACAGACATTCATTCATTTAAGAACATCTATGAAACAACAGATGGCGTTGCTGTAGGATAGACGTACCTTTAGCTCAGTCCCCTTGTACAACAGGCGCTGTTTATTCCTGTCATAGCGAAACTTTTTGTGCAAAATTTCCTTTAGATCAAACACAGTCATGTCGGGGCGAAAAATGATATCCTCTCGATCTCCATTCAACAACACGATGTGGATGACTTCTCCTTCTACAACGCCATCGTCGTATGTTTCATAACTGTCGGAAATGGCCTCATCGTAAAAGAGACGGTTTAAAATTTCTTCGTACAGCTTTATTTGCTGATCATCTGCTTGGACCGGTATATGGCAGTCCGCATCCGGGCATTCACTGTGCTGTTTAACATACTCCACTGTACACTGAAATGAGAAATGCATGCATTTAATATTCAACTGTGCAAGACCATCGTTTAGAAATTATCATTGGGAAAGTCCATAATGATGTTTGAATGTGTCCGGTAAATGTTCGGTAAACCCAAGATTGTTTTTAAAAAAATGCTATTTCCAATTATTCTGACATTAGATTAATGAATAGGCTTGCACACTGTGGTGTCTCACGTAATTATATGTCTTTGATTAAGAAGTGAATTTGCTTGTCTAAATAAATGGTCAAATTTCATAATTATTACGATGCAACAAAATGCAGGATACATGATAATACGTTTAATATTTCACAACATTTACCTTCAAGCAATAGACAGCAGGATGTTCGCACGTTTCTGTTATTGTGTCTCTCGGGAATTCTCGCGAGAGTTTATCTTTTCTGCAACCAAAACACCGCATTTCTGCCTGCCTCACTGGTAAACTGCAAGCAGGTAAACAATCCTTTCAGGTACTTCACGCTTCGTGACTGCACGCTTAATTCTTACAGATAACCGAAATATACATACAATAAAAAGATAGGGGTACTGGTACATTGTACTGGT